AAAAAAAAAAAAAAAAAAAAAATTAACATTCATGCCCAAAATGAACGATTAACATTCATTTTGGACATGAAGGTAGTTAATCTTTTAAAAATTGGCCTCCTGGGTCGGGTGCAGTGGCTCATGCCTGTAATCCCAGCGCTTTGGGAGGCCGAGGAGGGTGGATCACTTGAGGTCAGGAGTTTGAGACCAGCCTGGCCAGCATGGTGAAACCCCATGTCTACTAAAAATACAAAAAATTAACTGTGCATGGTGGCGGGGGCCTGTAATCCCAGCTACTAGGGAAGTTTAGACAGGAGAATCACTTGAACCCGGGAGGCGGAGGTTACAGTGAGCTGAAATCATTCCATTGCACTCCAATCTGGGTGACAGAGTGGGACTTCGTCTCAAAATAAAATAAAATAAAATAAAATAAAATAAAATAAAAATTGGCCTCCTTATTTTTTAGAAAATTTCTTGAGAGTGATTGCCTAGTTGCAACGAGATTACCCCCGGCTTTTCTGCCAGGGAATGCTCATATTAAAACCAAAGCAAACAAAACAAAACAAAATCCCTTCATGCTTTTTCCAGTTTTTCCTCTTGGTTGGAGGCTGTACAGTAAGCAGTTTCTCTAAAGCAGGCTGCTTTCAAACCTTAAACAACATTCTTGAAAAATGTTGCTCTTCATGGTGCCATGGAAGATGAATTTGGAGAAGAAAGAAAAACTCAGCCATTAATTTATCATACATTTGTTAAGCATCAACTATGTAATAAGCAATAAAGTGCTAAGTAGCAATTCTAAACTAGTGGTAACGGTAAACTATATGCCTCTGCCCATCATACTTTTCTCAATGATTCTGGCTCATCCTCCCAGGAGGGAAGGGGAAAGAAGGCTCTTATAGAAGGACTTTCATAGGGAGACCATGCTGCTACTCTAGGAGATATAATATTACATTCTTCAGGTGTTTGGGAGTGAGATGAGCAAGGCCACTGGATCGACTTCTCATTTATGTACCAACCTTGCCCATAACCATAGGACATGGAGACAGAGCAATTTACTTTCAGCCTAGATTCAAAGGCCTCTTTCTTAAGATAAAATTGTCCTAATGTTCCTTGACTCACATTTCTGGAAAATTAGAATTCTTTTCAAGTTTTGACATCAGGTGACTTTTATAGAAAAGATTATAAGGTTTTAAAAATTATACTTTTCCATCTCACAATCGGTAAACTCTTCTCTGTGACGAATAGGCAAGGATACCTGAAAAGCCCTATTCCTTGCGTATTTGGATGACAGTGGTGTTGCTACTATTTAGGGCAATCCTCTAACGAGTGGTCTCTGGGTCCTTTGTATTTCATGACTGTAAGCTAAACCCTGGAGCAGCAGCCTGAACTCCCCAAACATGGATGTTAGGACCCAGTCGCAAAGTCAGTATCCCCTCAATTAGCCTTTTGTGGGATTGCAGAAGATTAAAAAAAGGATAGGAGAGTCTTTCACTGACTTAGATGGTAGCTTGCTCACTGCCAGATTGCACAAACCACACCATACTCTCTCATCTGTTTCTAGGTCAGTAGAGAGCATTAGTAACCAGAGCATTCATCAGATGTTTTGATTGAAGAATTAATTATTCAGTTTTGTAACTGAGCTAGATAATTGCAAAATTGCAAAATGTAATGCCTTGTTTTTTTTGTTAGCAAAACACTTGCTTTAGCTTAAATTCCAGTGTGTTTTTTGAACTGTATTCCCAAAGCAACAGTATAGATTGCATAAGGGCCAAATTGCTACTGTCTCTCTCATCTCATAGAGCAAAAGGAGCCAGTTATGGTGAAAACTTAGATAGCATCTTCCTCGCCTAAAGGAGATCTGAGTTACATTACAGCCTTAGAGTGAATCATTCAGCAGCTTAAATATTTAACCGTAAAATGTAATGATTCAAAGAGAATTTTTGAGGTTGGGTTACACGTTCTTCTTAAGTCTTTTTTTTTTTTTTTTTTTTTTCCAGGAAGTACCTGGCTCTATCGCCCAGGTTGGAGTACAATGATGTCATTATAGCTCATTGCAACCTCAGCTTCCTGAACTGAAACGATCCTCCCACCTCAGCCTCCTGAGTAGCTGGGACTATGGGTGCGCACCAC